TAGCCATGCAAAGGAAGTCTCCTCTCTTTTTCTGCCTACGCTCTGATACTGTATATCACCCTGTGTAGTAAACTGATCACCACGTCACAGTGAGTACAATCCTAGACCCTCCAGCCAGGTTGCCAGGGGGCTCCAAAACTGGTTCCTGTACTTTTTAGCTGTGAGACCTTAGGCAAGCTACTTAATTGCTTTATGCCTCAGTTTCTTCATTTGTAAAGTGGGGGCAGTGATTGTACCTACCTCATAGGATTGGCAAGAGAATTAAATGGCTTAATGTATGCGGTCAGAACAGTATCTAGCATATAGAAGGTGCTTCATGTTAATAATTCACATTGTCGTGACTATTATTACCATCTCCGTGACCCAGAAGTATGTCATTAGTGTACTTCTGGTCTGTAATAAAAATGCAAAGCCACGGCCCTGGCCAAGTCCTGTCAGCACACCTGTCTCTGGACTGCCATTGATGCATTAACCAACTGCAAAGCTGTCTGATCCTATTATCACTCACCCTGTGTTCTCCTTCTGGTCCTGGAGAATATCTGTTATGTGCCAGGCACTGTGCTAGGCATGGAGCACACGAGTGTAATAAAACATGTCTTTGCCCTCAGTGGGCAAACAGTGCAAGAAGACAAATGCTGAAACAGAGGGGTAATCGCTCGGAGACAGATATGCACAAAACCCACAAAAGATGCCCAGCTGTATTTGGTTCCACAGTCTCACATTAAATTTCTCTAAATACCCTAAAATGGAAACCCTAGTGGCACAGTGGTTAAGAGCTACAGCTGCTAACCAAAAGGTTGGCAGTTCGAATCCACCAGGTGCTCCTTAGAAACCCTGTGGGGCAGTTCTACTCTGTCCTATAGGGTTGCTATGGGTCAGAATCGACTCAATGGCAACGGGGTCCAACAGGGTGACCCTAAAATGGAAGGAAACCAGAGAACACATTTCGAACACGTTTATAAGGTTGTCATTGTTTATGAGGAAATTCATTGTTCACACCCTCAAGGTCTGTCGCAGCTCTTGACTTTCATCTCCCTTTATTATTTCAAGAGGTATTTGTTGTTTTTTTGCTAATTTGGTGGTATTTTGTTTGCAAGCAAAATTATTTGTTTAAAACTCACGTTTCCAGTGGCTCCTCCACAGGAGTCGTTAAAATCCATTTGATCTTATTCCTCGCCACGAGTGTGGTAACCTTGACATTATGGTAAATCTTGAAATGTGTTTGCAGAATCCATTCAGGTACCTGTATACATCCCATTACTGAATGTCCCTGGGCTCATGACAGGGGCTGCAATTCTGATAGCAAACCATCCCCTTTGCTTTACACATTCCCTCTGACCCAGGGAGTCCGTTTTCTTCTAAACACTGTTGACAGAGTATCTCTGATTTTTATTGGTCACAAAGGTTATATTTGCCTTCCCAGTGATCTCATTCTTGTCCAGTGGGCCCCAATAAATGGGAATCGGCATCAAAAAGGGGAGATTGCTCAACCCATAACCGTGCACTTGACCTACATCAAATTTTGCTGGGGTCCTGTTTCCTCCCTGTTTTGCACTTTTCAGAAGGAATTGCCACCATTGAGTTGCTTGCCTTTTCATATTACCCACCAAAATGGTCCCTTCTGTTATTTCACATAATCAAGGAATTGATTATATAAAGTTGCTTAATGTGGCCAGCCTCTTCAAAAACAGATATGTTGCTGAAAAGTGATCTTGGCAGCCAGGGCCGGGTCATCCAATAAGCAAGGTAAGCACAGTGTGAAATTGTTCACTACAGATTAGTAAGTAAACACAAGTAAGCTCATGCTTAACCTTGCTTACCGGGTCATCCACCCCTCCCAGGGATTATAAATTTAAAACGAGACTTCGATTCTGTAGGAGGGTGCTGTGGGGTTGGGAGAGAGACAGATTCCAGCGATACCTAGAAACAGAAACTTGGATGTGGTGAAAAAATGTGAAGTTGTTCACTACAGATGATCTGGTAAGCAAGGTAAGCACTGTGCTTACCTTGTTTATTGGATCGTCTGCCCCTGTTGGCAGCGTCGTATAATCTCTGGGTCCTGAGCTCTTGGAGAGCTCTCAGAAATGCACTGAAGAAGGTGGGAGGAACAGGGCCAGATCTTGCTCTGCCATTCAATTCTCAAGCTTGTCGCCCTCAAAAATCCCTATTGTTTTTGTCACACAAAGACCTCATACTTTGAAAGCCTCTGTCTCCCAGTCTCCATTTACACAGGGAAGTTGTGTCTCCTGCTTTTTAATTAATCAAGCACATACTGCCAATCAGCTTTGGAGCTACCGAAGAGAGCTCGTGTTACGCCCCTAAGTTAATATAATTCCATCCAAAAGCTAAGAAACATTAAGACTTAGATAGATGGTAGAGCCTTATTATGAGTCACTTCTAAAAACAATTCAAGGATCTGTGTTACCGTCTTCAGGGGGTCCTGGGGGTGAACCACTACACGAAATATTTAGGTTCACAGTCTTGCAAAGCCTTCCTGGGTTGCAGATTCTATCCATTGCCTCACAAATGAAACAAGTCCATTTTCTTGAGCATCGAGGTGCTCCCCGGCCCGGCTTTTCTGCCTAGAAAATGCCATTTTCATGAAGTGCTGTCACGCTCCAAGTTCTGTGGCTTATGATTTAGCTGTGCAGAGAGGTGCAGGCCGCTCTTGCTCTCTGAGTGCTGGTGATCTGTGGTTTTGTTTTACTAAATCTTTAAAATACTGGGCTGGTTGTTTACCATCCCCATATATTCTTTTGTTCCTCTCAGTGACTGCTTAGGTCACACTTTCTTCTCCCTTTGTGCAAATGAGTGTCTTTCTGAAGAATGCCATGGTCTCCTGCATGGCTGCCAATGAAGGAACATGTTGAGCTTAACGTCACGTCGGCTGAGGCTGTGACTCACGGATGCTACGCCGACGGGGAGGTTTCAGGCTTCTCAGACGTGGTCCACAGGTTTGCACATCTTCCTGCTCTTGCCAGCGTTGTTTTGACAAATCTGAGATCACTGGGTCCTAATCACAGAGCTCTTTGTAAAATAAAGGTACCAAATAGCGTATGTTTCAGTTGCAGACAAATGTTTGTGATTAAGTTACTAAGAAACGCTAGGTCACAGGGAAACAAGTTGTCATCCAGGTGTGAGCTTCTCGCTGTGTGCGTATCAGCGCTGGGCTGCACGTTCTTCGGGCCCCGAGGAGTCTAATGCTTCTAACCTCAGTGGGCATCTTCCTCAGAGATGCTGAGGAGGAAAGAGTGTCTGCAGCCAGTCCTGAATTCAGGTAAATCTCACAGCACCTGGTACTGCAGGACTTATTGTACCTACCTGCTGTGTCCCCTAGAGCAAGTTCAGTTGATATGTACCATCTTCTGGTTCCGTCCCTTCATGGAGGGGACTCAGAAAGTTTCAGCTAATCTGGAATACAACCAGAGAGTGAATCCCTTACTGATGTGAATCCCCAAATAAACCATGATGTGACATCCAACTGAACTTATTCCTGTACGTCCAGTATCCGTCGGCCCGTCCTGTGCTGTGAGTTTTGGCAAGTACACGACAGCATATAATAAATCATGGAAGGAAAAAGCTTTCTGGCCTAGCGCGGTTCAGCCTGCTGTAATGTTCGAATACAGAAAGCAGTTCTGTTTTTAGACATCCTTTTACTAACCCAACATTCATAATTTATGATTTCACTGTAAAATTCCTGCAACACTACACCAAAAGTCGTCTGCCCTTTAATTAAGTGCTCTCAGTAGGAAAAAACGTGAAACTGATGTGCAAAACATCTCCCCGTGCGCGGTGATTGATAGTGATTACATCTTTGTGAACCCAGCCTAAAGGTCTCAACTTCCTGACGGGTGAAGGAGTCTGTAGGGCCCTCGCGAGCCTGCTTCCTGGGGATCAGTCGCTGTGAACAAAATCAGAGATAACTCGGAGGCACCATTGACAAATGTGGAGGTTTTCAGCCTCCGTCTGTCTATACCCTGTCACGAGTCTACGTGTCTTTATTCCTCATTTTCTTGATAAGCACCTACAACCAGGTTTCCTGCTGCATCCACGCTCAGACAGGGGTGAGGCAGAGAATGAAGGTTGGGGAGAAGGTCTCTTTGAGGGATCCCCATGAGTCACACGGGGTTTTTTTTAAAGACTGGAAAGAGGGGATGACGGGTGACTTCTGGCCCTGTTGGAGCATGAATGGAATATTAAAGCCAGAAGAGGACCTAAAACCGTCCCATGTTTTAAAATTAATTTTGAAACATTTTTTTTTTCCTTAGTTAAAAATAAACCAAAAAATTTGCTGTCAAGTCCATTCCAACTCATAGCGACCCTATAGGACAGAGTAGAACTGCCCCATAGGGTTTCCAGGGAGCAGCTGGTGGATTCAAACGGCCGACCTTTTGGTGAGCAGCCGTAGCTCTTAGCCACTGTGCCACCAGAGCTCCTAGTTGAAAACAGGCAAGTTTCATTGTTAAGACAGTACCACTGACACACAGCGACATGCTTGGCTGCTAATCGAAAGGTTGGAGGTTCGAGTCCACCCAGAGGCTCCTCAGAAGGAAGGCCTGGGGATCTACTTGCAAACATTCAGCCCCTGATAACCCTGTGGAGCACAGATCTGCTGGGACACGCAGGAGGTTGCCATGAAGCGTAACAGGCTGTGCCGATGGTCTACTTGGGGTGTTTTTTCTTTATCACCTAAGTAATCACATTAGCCCAAGCTCGTAACACCTCACTGAAATGTAATTAGCATAGTTCGTATCTTTGAAATACTGTAACTTCCTTGAAAAAAAAGAAGACATCCATCCAAGGCGGTAATACTTGTATTAAATGAGTTTTTGTGGTATAAATTCAGCTACTTCGGTCATACTTGTAGCAACGAAAATGAAAGCTTTTTGTGAAGCGGATGTTTAAGTATTTGGGAGAATAACTTTATCAGTGCCTCAGAAATGACTTTTTCCTGGAGCCGTGTTGTATGCGTATGAACATCATGTTCTCGCCTTTTGCAGATTTGGGCCCGGCTTAGTCATCTATTGGTACGGCTTCATCCAGGAGCTGGACTGTAACCGGGAGAGGGGCATCCTGCTCAAAGCCTGTTTCCCCACCGATATTGTCACCTTATGCCATAGCGTAGCTTGACCCTGCAGATCCTGGAAGAGAAGCTGGGCGGAAAAGGTGAATCCGGAAGCAATTTTACTTTCCTGCAGCGTGAACTCCTGGCAACATCTGCCCTGAACTTCAGCTGAACTCTTGCTGCCCGTGGTCACAGTACTGCCTCGTTAGACAAACATATCAGGAGTTTCTGTCTTCCTTCATCCCTTGCTGATGTGAACAGCCAAGAACTACAGACACAACCCACTCATTATCAGCATTTCTGTCTCTGTCCAACAGTAAGTTTATAGATAGTCATAATCTCTCTTCCTTCCGGATGGTTTCTCCTGTGTACTGAACAAAGGAAAAAATGTGGAGACTGAAGGGTGGGATTTTTCAATTCTCCTCCCTGTTACCGACTCACCCTCTGAGTTTTTTTCTGAGGCTCTATTCATTATCTCTCCTTCCCCCTCTCTCTCCAGACCCCCAGATACCCAGTGTTGCATGACAGCCTAATGGAATAATCTAGCACGAACCTAGAAAAGCTGAAGTCTGAAACTGAATTTTTGCCCTCGCCTGCAGGGCTCTGGTAGGCCTAGACGGTAGCGGGAGCTGTGTGCCCATTTTGTCCAGCCTTTATGGTTTCCTGGCTTCCATGACATGCAGGAGCTATGTGCCCATTTTGTCCAGCCTTTATGGTTTCCTGGCTTCAAAGGCATTAAGCCAAGCTGCAAAAATGTTTTTAATGAGCATTCTTCTTTTTATGATACTTATTTAAACTCCAAACATTTTATCTTTATCCAACTTAAAACTGTTAGTTACACTGTATCTAGGAGCCACACTCCTACATTGGATTGGGGGCAAGGAGAAGATGACCGAAGCTCAGTGCCGCATCGACAAGTTTATTTTTAAACGTGGCTAGTTGTCGATAGTGATTAAGAGATAGAGCTGCTAACCAAAAGGTTGGCAGTTCGAATCCACCAGCCGCTCCTTGGAAACCCTATGGGGCAGTTCTACTCTGTCCTATGGGATCGCTATAAGTCGGAATAGACTCGAGAGCAGTGGGTTTGGCTTGGTTTTAGTTGTCAGTATGTATGTTACCCAGTATTTTTATGAGTGAAAATTTTTTAAAAGCACATTTCTGTATGCTACTTTGTATCTGCTTTTTATACCGTGTAATTATATAACAATTAACGTAGGCATTAGAAATGTTGAGCTGTTGGGGAATTAAGTGTACCAGAAATCAACCTAGCATGATTTTTAAGTAAGCAAAGTAAAGGAGATTTTGTATTTCTTCACTTTAACTTATTCATTTTTTTGTACTGCAGACCAAATGTCCATCTAAAGCAAAGTGTCAATAGATTAATTACAATTATGTACTTAGTGAAATAATGTCCCCCAAGCTGACAAGCATAAGAATTTTTATAATGTTGAAAAAGTGATTTTTGAAATAATAATAAAAAACATGTAACTCTTACAAACGACTTTAAGTTACACACATTGCTTGGCTCTTTCAAAAGACTGTATCATTTGTCCTTTTGCCTTTTGTGCTCAAGAAGGTTTGTAAAGGTTGGCCAGCTGCCTTTCAGGGAACTCAAACCGCATGCCGGGTCTCTGGCTGTTGGGATTTCACTTTGCCGTGGGCCGCATTAAATCGTAAGGAGATGCCAGGCGAGCTCTTGTTTGAGTGTACAATTCATCAGGCACGTTTTGAGAGTGGAACCAGGTGATTTGAAACCACCGCTGTTGCCTTGATATGGAGCGTTCACACAGACACACATAACAACAGTTTTGTTTTAAAACACGTGTGCGTACTTTTTTAAAAAAAGAACTATTGTCAAAAGCAGTTTTCGTGGCTTGCATTAGACCGCTTTTCCTTCCTTAGGACTAAATTACATGTATCTGCACAGATGCTGAGACTCCTGTTAAACCTGCGTCAAGAATGTGTTTGTTTTACATTAAACAAATTTATGATAAGGGTGCACCAATGATTTTTTTTTTTTTAAAAATAAAGGTGCTTGCGTTATGCATTTATTCCTCTGCCGGTTGCGCTGACGTATATGCTGTGAGAAGGGACTGATTTTCCTGCAAAAGCATCACCTCCTGTTCATGAATGGGGCCTTAGAATTTGGCCCTTCCCCGTAGCGAAGAATCCAGAAAGCTGTCCATACTGCGATCAAGTTGCAGCTTCCTCAAAATTAAGCTGTTTCCCACACAAAAACTAATGGAATTATTATATCCGCCACTGTCGGACTGGAGGGGTAAGGAAGAGAGTAATGTTCCCACACTGGAAGCTTAGACAGTCCTTGTTCTTTCTCTTATGTATTAAAAACGCTTAATCTGTGTGCCTGTTGTTTGTTTTTTGGGTAGGACAATATAAACATCAACCCTAGAAAGTAGACATGGGATAACAACTTTTTTTTTTTTTTTATTGCTGCCATCATTAGAACGCATCCTGCAAACTGTGCTAACAAATTATGTCAAGCCAGAAAACAGGAGTGTGTCCAAAACATAAAAGGAAATGACGTTCTCTCTGGCAGGTCGACTCGCCAAGCATCTGCTCTCACAGACTAATAAGAGACACGTTTAGAGCATGTAGAGGAATCAGCTCAGAGCAAAGCGGAGCCAGCGCGGATGGTATTTAAGCTGACTTCATAGACCCCCTTGTACTCCCCTTCCCATCCCCACCCCAAAAAAACAAACAGCGAGGATCCTTTTTTTGTTCATTTGCCATCCAGTGAGCTGTCTGTCAAGTCTTCTAAACACTTGTAAAATCACATACAAAATGGAAGGCTCAGGGCTCCAGAGTAGAAAGCCTCCAGGGGAAATAATTTTCTTTCAACCATAGGTGGATGTACCTGCTCAGTATCTACGAAGCTTGATTCCATCCTGGCAACGAAGATAAATTGTTGGTCTTTGGGGGGGCGCATTAACTCATTTAAGTTGCCAGGGGATTGTTGAGAACCCTGGATGAGGTAATCTGCTAAATGGTCCCAGGTGGGCCACGCTAATTAACGCACAGCCTGAAGTGAACAGTTCGTTCTCTGCCTCTTGCTGGGGAGTGCCACCCATTGTCTCCTTTCCTCTCTGGAACCGAGATCCCTTAGCCGCCTGCTCTCTTTAACCTGCTGTTTCCACTGAATTACATCTCTACTACTTCCACGTGGCCCTTCCCTTCTTAGGTTTTCCCCCCTTCCCTTCACTAGCCTTAGCGAGTTTGCCTCCACAGGGGCGTGTATTCCGCATTTTTCTCACGGCCCCTGGGCTCTTTTTCTCTCTAGAAAATGACCCTATAGCCAAAATGCATCCCATGTAGATCCTGATCCACATGGGGGCGGGGAATGCCATTGGCTTAATCTCTTTGGGGAGAAGCATACCCCAACCATTGTCCACCTGCCAGAGAATTCCAGTGCATGCATGGCACCTGACAGACCATCACACTTTTAACTAAAAAGAACAGTTGACAGGGTCACAAATACAGCGTGAGGTTTATGCCTTCGGTAAACGTATTGTCAAAAGTCTACTGCCCGCTGCCATCAAGTCAATTCCGACTCATAACAACCCTACAGGACAGAGTAGAACTGCCCCGGAGGGTTTCCAAGGCTGTAAATCTACGGAAGCCAACTGCCACATCTTTCTTCTGCAGAGCGGCTGGTGCTTTCAAACCACCGACCTTTCTGTTAGCCCCCGAGCGCTTATCCACTGTGCCACCAGGGCACCTTTGGACAAGAATAGTCCCTCCAAAATGTAAGCCACTTGCAGCCTGTGTGTTGTTACTCAGCTGATTAAAATTATGAAGTACAGTAGTACAATGTCTGTGTGATGTAGTTAGACAGTCACTCCCAGCTCGCTCATTTTGGGGACAGCTTGCCATTGTCCATGTGGTCAGATGGGGGCAAGTTGCCTCAAACTATATTTTTGTTAAAAGGATAAAAAAAAAAAAAACCATTGCCGTCGAGTCAATTGTGAGTCACAGTGACCCTATAGCGACCCTACAGGACAGGGTAGAACTGCCCCATAGGGTTTCCAAGGAGCGCCTGGTGGATTCAAAGTTCCAACCTTTTGGTTAGCAGCCGAACTCTTAACCACTGTGCCACCAAAGTTTCCATTACAAAGATAGGAGGAGAAAAATCTCCCCGTTGGCACATTCTTGACTAGGGCTAAGGAACAAAGCAGGCTTAACTAGAGAAGAAACTAAAAGGCAAACAATGGGAGTTGGCCAGCAACACCACCGCTTACAGAAAAGTGTCCATCTGACCCTGTCTGTATAAAGTCACTCCGGTAAAGGAAGGGTCGCATGTGACACAAAGTTTGGATCATCTCAACGTGTGACTCAAAACTAGACTTCCTATAGATAGTAAACATGGTCAGAACCTGTTCTATTAAGGACATACCGGGATTCCAAAGATTAAATAAGGAGAATGGAATTATGAATTAAATAATACCCAGAACAGCCTGGATTCGCCTTGCGTTTTTCACTTTCCTGCTATTGTTTTGAACATGGCTCTGAGACAAAGAGTTGCTTAGGTCAAGGGCTATAAATTACAGTTTTCATACAATAGTAATCCACTAAAATTATTTCAAAGCTTGATCAAAGTACTTCAAAAACACTCTTAAAATTTTTCCACAATACAAGGGGAGGGAAAATGCTCATCTGATGCTTTGATTTGTTCCAGTACAGCAAAGTACAATCTGTATGTCATACCTACTTTATATAAAATCCATCTCATTAGCTAAAAAAAATGCAACTTTTATGATTGTTTCATGTATAAGTACAGGGGATTTAAGTTTTCATCTTGCTCAACTAGAACAACAATGCATTTACAGTCACTTTTAATGTAAGGAAAAGATATATGTAGTAGCATTTTAAAATAAGCATAACTTGACAGTAGTTAATTGTGATACTCAAGGTATTTGTAAAGACAGTCTAACCCTTTGTGCCGTAGAATAAACTGGATCTCGGTGGATTTATCTGGTATTTTAATACTAATCATGGCAACAGATGTATTTAGGTTTTCATCCCTTTTCCCTCATCGCTTGGATTTATCTGGAGCTGTCTCATGGCATAGGCAAGGATGATGGGAGGTTCCCCAGTGATAGCAAAGCTAAGCGAATTCTAGCCTCAGCCATGTACATAAAGATAGCGCGGGGCTGCAGCAACAATGCTAGACTCAGCTAAAGACCCCTGGCACTGTGTCAGGGTAATTTTTATTTTTTAAAAGGAAGGTCATTTGGAGATGCTGACATGAAATATAACCAAGTCAATTAAGTAATAACAATTGAAGTTCAGAGTTTAATTGAGGACTGAGCATGAAACCAATGACCATTAACCTAAATGGCCATTAATTCCCCGGGAAACTGCCTGGTTAAGGGTATCACCAGGATACTAGCATTTTTTTCTTAAAAAAAAAAAAAAAAAGTTTTTGTCATCTTTACATTCCACACAGATGCATTCCTAAGTAGTAATTTAGTATGTCTTTAGCAGACTTTCTGTATTTCTAAACTTGAATTGAAATTCTTATTATAGGCAAATAAAAATGTAGGGAATCAGAACTACCTCTTCTCTGCAGGAAGACATCATTTTATCAGTAAATTGAAAGATGAGCATCCTTTCCTTGATTGCCTTTATTTGTCTTAACTGTTGACTTCTGTGTGTCTGTACTTGTTTAATGGCAGGACTCCTTGACTAGCTTGTAAGCTCCATGAGAGCGAAGACTAAATGTATTGTATTCATTGCTCCTCCCCCCAGTACCTAGCAGAGCCCTGGCACAGAGCAGGTGGTCAATAAATGTTGCATGAATAGGTGAATTTTAAATTTATATTAAATATGTTTTCACCCACTTTTCATAAAATGGCCTTATGCAAATAATTGGAACTATTAACTATCTCATTTTCTTCAGCTAAAAAAATGGGCATATTTACTAGGGTAGGAGAAAGTAGCATATATGCTGATGTTAATGAAAGAATAAATTACTTAGAAATCCTGAAAATCTGAAATAAACAAGATTCATCCTCCAGAGCGTTTTAGGATACATTCTCAGTTTTAAGGGGAATTCATGTAATTTCATTGCATTTGGCTTAAAGTTAGCCTTCGTAGATAATTGTTCATCTACTATATTGCTAAATAAATTAGAACAATTAAAAATATGTGTTTCTCTAAAAAAAGAAAAGAAGAAGAAAGGCTTATCTTTATATTTCTATTTAAGAGACGATTTTCCCCAAAATCAAGTCAGGGTCCCAAATTAAATGTGTTCCATACACAAATTTTAGGATATTCAGTAGTTACTGGATTAACGGCAAATAGTACTTTTAGTAATGCTGGGTTGATGGCAGTGTTCTTCCTGGCCGAGAAGTTGCTCGCTGGCTCAAGAGAGAATAGTTCTTTGGTCATTTGCCAACAGGATCTGACCTCTGGAGAGATACTGTCCATGAACTGCTTAGCAAGGCGTTTCCTTGCTAAGTCATTGACTCAGAGTATATTATCATTTCCGTGCCAAAGCATTTGGCACGCTTCCTCATATTTTGGAAACTTGTAACACAGAAGGAACTGGAGCGTCCACATTTCTCCATTGCTCCTCAAGTTTCCCAGGACTAGGTTTGTTGGGGCCATTTGGTGTATGATTCTTTCTGTGAGAAATGGAGGAGCCCGACACCCAGTGCAGAGATTTCTGAGGCCACGTCTGCCTTGGTTCCATGTGATGTTTCTGTCTTAGATTTCTAGCATGTATTTATTCAAGATACAAATATTTCTTGAGTCCCTAAGGTATATTCAGGAGTCCCTGAGTGGCACAAACAATTAAGCACTCGCCTACTAACCGAAGGGTTAGCGGTTCAAACCTACCCAGAAGCACCTCAGAAGAAAAACCTAGCAATCTGCTTCCAAAAGTTCACAGCCTTGAAAA